AGTGCTAGCCTCTAAGAAAGAAAAAATAATATTCTTACTTTTGTATCACATGTTTTTTTTTACACATAAAAACTTTTCCTAGTTTTTGGTAACTTACGTTACATGCATTAATGTTTAGTTGAAATTTATATAATTAAGTGAATTTAACAACAAAAAGTTATTTTAACACTGCACAATATTTCAACTAAGTGTAACAAACAATATTTATTCTTTGGAACATTTTGAAAGGAAGATAATGTTAAGTTACTGATTTTTAGAATCTGACCATGCTCTTCACCCAAATCAGAACAAGCAAATGCCAATGTTCAATGGGCTACCAACACTAAAAAACTGAATTCTCAAAAAAAAAAATTATAAATTATCAAACTTCAAACCTTTCTAATTCAGAAAAAATCCAAAGTAATAACATTATTCTTATTTGAATTTTCCGATGCTTTTCCCCTTTTTCATGGAATCGCCCAAATACATTTAAATTGAAGAAACTTCACAGCATATTGAATAGTTAGCAGAAACTTTATACTTTTCTGAATAGTTACTTCGTAGAACTGAAATAGAAATATTTAAGCTATTTTGACTAGTCAAGTTTTCATTTGTTTCTTATTTTTATACTTCATGAAATTCATCTTTCAAAATTCCATGACCCTCCATATACTAGATAAAATACTTCTTGAAATTCCATTTGAAAAATTGCTTTTTCTCTCGTTATTATTGGAAATTTATTGTTATCAGCTTCACTTCTAATCCTTACCTCGCCTTATACGAACCTTTATTTCTCTTTCCTCCAAAGATTCGATAAATTATGTCATGAAAACTGTGGCAGAACTATTTTGCCATCACTTTAACTGTCATCTCTCTCATTGGCTGGAGTGGTACTCAACCAACTACGTTTTATTACAACTATTATTATTTTATTTAAGCTTCGTGGTAGTAAAAACGTTAAAAGAACTAAAGCTTTTGCTCTTTATTTATGAGTTTCCATTTCTATTCACTTTTGGCGGGATGCTGAGGTTTAGAGCAAAGAGTTGCCGGAAGTTGTAAATTAGTATTTGAATTTTATGTTTCCCAAGAAAATAGGGAAATGATGAAACAGCAGATTTATTTTCGAAGTTAAATTTAACCACTCGCTTTAATTTTAACACTTTGGTTTAGAGTAGATAAATATGAATTCTCTTATCTGCATATTTATGTTCTCTGTTTCATTTTGTATTTTCTTTCGGATATTCATAAGGTTAAAATTAAAAGCCGCTGCTCGATTTACACGACATAAAATATATTGTGGGGTCTTACCTAATAAAACAATCAGGAATAAAAAAGTTGAATATACTGTGTACTTGATTATTTGCAGACCATAAAAGATGCACAATTATTCTTAAAATAAACATTGTATTTAAGGTACTTTGTTAACGTTAGTTGCATAAATGTACAAAATTTTTTGCGGAATTAAACTTACCCTAAATTAAAAGAAATCATTGAAATAAATTCAAACATAAACTTGATAAAGGAAATGTTTTATTATATAAAGAAATAAATTACAAATAATAACTCATATTTTGTTGTGACTTGTAAACCGTATAGTCAACATAACTTCCCCAGTTTGAATGGATTTAAGTTAGTTGAAAAAAAAATACCTGATAAAGTTTTATTTGAGTAAAATATTTATACTTTAAAATGTGTTATCAGTTGGTACTTTGAATGCAAAATCATATTCAGAATTTATATAATAAATAATACTATTTTTACATAAATACAAGAACTGCAATATCTGTCAGCTATGAAATTATAAGCACATTAAGGTATGGTAGGCAAATTAGAAATATTTTTTTTAATAATACAGCGATTAAAATTTGATTCATCAGTAAATGTACTCATTCTTTTTTCCAATGAGTAAAATAATATTGACCCGTTAAATTATTTTAACTTAAAGCATAAAGCCATATTTTCATTTAATTATAAACCTTCTGACATTCAGAAAACTGCCGACCAGCCTGCGTAGAGGGCAGGGAACTGTCCTTGCATTTGAAAGGTTCTGGGTTCGATGTTCACTGGGCATTGATGTTCTTTCCTTCTCTGTACTATCTGCCCTCATTGTGAGAGCGACGTTGGCCCACTTAATATGGTGCCCCTAAAAGAGAGGCCGACAAAATCGCCCTGTAAATGCCCGAATTGACTGATGTTAACACAGGTGGGCATTGGAAAAAAAAACATTCAGCAAACTGCAGCAGATTCCATAGTAATTAATAATGGTTCCGTTCAGTAATATCTTGCGAACAAATTAAAATGTTCATTAAAAATAGATTCTAAAATATTTACAATATTAAATGAAAATTTTATATATTTTTACTCTGATTTTAAACAAGAATTTTTTGATTTTTACAGAAGTCGATGTCATACATGTAGTTGATTATTAAAAAAATTAACACTTATACATGCATGTAGTTGAATTAATATCATTAGATGATGTGTCATTATAATCGCTTTACACAAAAAAGTTACAAATGAAAATGTTATGACTTTTAGATGTTTTAAATGAAATGAACATTAGTTGGTACTTTTTATCAATTTCAGAATAACTACTTTTTCTATTCATTAGTGAGATGAATCTGGCTTAAATTCAAATTCTTACTTTAAAAATAAACTTCAATTATTAAATAACAATCTCATTTTCGACAGCTTTTTTTTCCGTTATTAAAAAAAACAAAGACATTTGAGAGATTTCTGAAACAAAGTAACACATAAAGATTGCTTGGCGAAGTAAAATATTGCTTGAGATTATTCAATATCGCTTTTCTTCTTTCTATTTTCTTTGAGAGGATTCAATATTTCTTTTTTTTATTCTGCTATTGCAGTCAACTTAAATTATTCGCGCGTTATTAAACAGCCATTGAGATAACGAGATCCAGCTATAAAAATTATTGGAAGAAATACGGATGATTTCCTCTATAAAGGAGAAAAAAAACTTCTGAAAGATTTTTTAAAGAAAGCAAATATGGCGTAAATAAATGATTTTGAAGAACTTTATAAAAATGTTTTAGTGTTTTAGAGGATTTTTTAGTGTTTCTAGGTCATGAATATGTGGTTAATATCAAAAAATGAAAGAACATAAAGTAATCAATATAAAATTAGATTACATAAAATGGATATAAATGGTAAACGGTTTATCAATTTTAAATGTTTTCTCTCGCAGCCTTTATTTTTTTTTATGTTGACTATTCATCATTTCTTTTTTTCTATTTTTTCAATAATGACTATTTTTCTATTATTTTGGAGAAGTTTTTTAAACACTCACGTGATCTTCATTTTCGAAGTAAAATAGGGTCTTGATGTCAAAGTTAACAGGAAAATGAATAAATAATATCAATTAATTTCATCGATATTAGACAATGTCTGATATAAATCCTTTATAATCCAAATTATATCGAACTCTGTAAAACTGTACGAAACATAATTCAAGAGGGATAAGAACCTCCTACAGTTTCAAGTTTTTTAATTGCAAAAGGGAACAGCAAGGGAAATTACTTTTATTTTTTGCTCCTTATTGCATGACTCATTTTGTGTTCCCATGTTTAAATATTTGTTTAAGTGCAGTTGCAGAATTTTCAAATCCAAAAGATTATCCATTTCGTACAATTAACATAATATATTTTTTAATTTCGGAATTTATACTGACACAAAATTATGGTAATTACATGCGTTACCAGCAAAATTATCTCATTAAAAAAATATTGACTTACAAAAATTATCATGAATTAGAAGCTGTGGCGTAACTACCAATATAAATATTAAATACCAATTCACTAGTATATAAGACACGTTAACTTGATTCTTCCGGTCAATAAAAAAATGAAGAAAAAATATAATGAGCAAAATTGGTATGAATTAATAAATGGCATGAATTAACTAGTGGTATTCATTCATCGAATTCTATCACACATAAAATTCTGGAAGGGGAGTAATGTGGCGTAACTACCACTATAAATATTAAATACCAAATCACTTGTATATAAGGCATGTTAACTTGATTCTATCACGAGGTGCCTTTTGATAGATGAAGGTTGGCATAGTCGATACTTAATTCCCCACAAAGCAACCTCGTGGGTTTCTTCTGATTCCGTATTTTTTTGTATTATTATACAATTTGAAAATGCTTTAAAACAATATTTTTTGCACACGTATATACGTATATATTTTGTACATATTGATGTATATTTCAAAGTGACAATAACAAGTATTGTTATTTCTTTATTTCCAGGTTGCCTGGGTAAAAGTAGATACTGAAACTTTACTAAGTTTCCACACTCATGTTGTACCTAGAGACAGTCGCCTGAAGGTCACGAATAGCAACAGTGATCGGCAGTGGTTCCTACATATCAAAAACTTAAATGTGTCTGACCGTGGAATTTATATGTGCCAAATTAACACAGAACCAATGATTAGCCAAGAAGGGTACTTGGATGTCACTGGTAAGTGAAACATATTACTCTTTTGTAATACATAACTCGCTTATGACGAACCATGAGAACCTAAGCAGGAATTCCTGTTTTGTATAGTGCTAAGTCTATTGGAGCAGCTCTCCCTTTTAACAAAACAAACCTAGTTTCGCAAGTAATTCAGAAAATGTCTATTTAATTCCATCTCTCCGGCGAACAGCCTTTTTGAAAAAAATTCTTTTTTGATGCATTTCTGGTCAACGAATTCCTTTTTAATGTCAATAATGTTTTTTCTGGTCTTCGGGCCATGAGTCTCATCCGACGAACATCAGTAACACAAGAAAAATAAACTAAGTCAGTTCAAAGCAAATTAACTAACTTGTTATTAAAAACAAAAAGTAAATAAATACTTACTTCATTTATAATTCAATAAGTATAAATAAATTATCATGATTTTTCATAAGCTCGTATTTTATGAGCATTCGGTTGTTACGAACAAATAATGCGGTCCTTTCATGTTCGTTATAAGCTAGTTCGAATTACATTATTCTTTTTTGTCACCTCACCGTATATTAAAAAAAAACAAATTCTAACTTCTTTTCAAACATCATAAAAAATATGATAAATATTTTTTGAGAAACTATGCTATACATTTGATTTATAAAAGGAAAAAAATAAGTGATTTATTAAAAAAAAAGAAAAAAAAAGTACATATTAAGGAAAAAAAAATAAAAATGTTTAAAGATTTCTGCTTATTCAAAAAAAATTTAAGTGTATAATTGCTTACTAAATTATAGTATAACAAATTAAAGCTGAATAAATCGAAGCTTAAATTTCTTTAAACTTACTTTGAAAATCTTAAAATCGTAGTTTGTTTCACCAGAAGTGGTAAGCTCGTATTTGTATTACCAATGTTTTTCACCAGCAGAGAAGATTATAAAGAATTTATCTTTTTTGAATCTTATCTGAAAATTTATCTTTACATATTTATCTCACATATTTATCTGATATATTTATCTTACAAAGACAAACTTTCAAAACATAACGAAAAGAAAGGAAAAATGCTATACAAAATTTCAATAACTAAAATGTTTTTTTCATGTTAACAAATATTAAAACATAAGCAAACTAAAAAATTTCGAAGTGCAAAATTTAGACTACCTTATAAAATTTAACTAATTTGTTTAAAAATTAATTAAGTTCAATTTCAAGGTGAAAGAAATTTTTACCCAATGTGCAATTTTCTTTTTGCTAAAAATTAATTCTATTAAGTTCGTAGCATACGTAAAACTATTCCAATATCATAAGCCCTTCTCCTGATAACAGCACAGTTTGCATTTTTACTTCATGAGAAAATAGAAAACAATGGATGTTAATGTTTTCGGATTAAGAAAAATTGTATTGATAAAAAAAGTAAAAGATAATGCTTAGTTAAAAATCATACAAATAATAAAAACATTGTGCTTTTATACAAAGTTTTTAAATAATCTCTGAAAGAGTCAAAAGACGCCTAAGTCATAAAAGTAACAAGTTTGCAACACAGCTAAAGGATGGTAATTATACGATATTTTATCAACTCTTCAGCCTCAAGCTACATTGATATTTTGCTTTATAACTTTCTTTCCTATTTATCAGTTGACGCAGAAAATAATTAATGGATATACGATAGTGACGCAAATTAAGCTTTTTTCTCTGCCATGTAAACTATTAATGAAGACATTTGTCTCAATATGCTTCTAAGATGCGTCATCAAACCGCTTTTGAATAAAAGATGTGTAACAGTGTGAATGGTTTGTAAGGTTCTCTATATATCACTTTGTGAATTGATGTTGGTAAAAGCATCTGTGTTGGTAAAAGTAACAGTGTAAATGGTTTGTAAGGTTCTCTTTATATCACTTTGTGAATTGATGTTGGTAAAAGTATCTGTGTGGGTAAAAGTAACAGTGTAAATGGTTTGTAGGGATCTCAATAAATCGCTTTGTGAATTGATGTTGGTAAACGTATCAGTATTATAGTTTAGATACATCTTTATAGAGTGTTGATTTTGCATTTTTTTCGTGCAAGAAACTTAGTTTTTGGATAATCTGATCGTACTTATTATTTTAAGTTTTTAATAAATAATTCCACTAATAGTACTTTTAAATATTTGAATATCTGTTTCTGTTTAGAGAGTTTATTTTTGAAATACTTGGATCCACCTTTAGTATCTTAAGTATTTGATGGTTTATTATATAATATAAATGAAGTTGTTTGCGTTTCGTACATATTTTATGCAAATAACACAAATTTATGTGAAAGCATTTATAAATGTTTATGTGTTTCATATATAATATGTATATCTATAAATTTCATTGAGAACAACAAAAAAAACTTCTACACCTTCCATATATTTAACATCTAATTTATTTCTCTTAAAAAAAATCCATCTAAGGTATTTTAATACTTGGTTCGGTCATAGATATTTTAAGTATTTGAATTTTCATCATATAAGATCAATGAAATTATTTTAGTTTTGCTTATGCTGTATGCAAATAACAAACGCTTCAGTCAAAAATATTTCTATACAAAAATATCTTAGCATTAAATAGGAATACACTACATTTATGGATACTAATAAACAGCATGCATATATAAAACTACAATTTCTGATGGTCACTCACGTGATGATTTCCACAATGATTCGGGACTGAAAGTATAAGGAATTTCTCGTCTATATAGTTTAAAAAATAAATAGCATTGATAAATGCAAACATACGTGAGTCAACATAGAATATTTATTTTAAATTTTTTAATGTTAAGTTCATGTATGATTAACTATCTAAATTATCTCCCTAAAATATTTGGTTTCAAACACATATTTTACATATTGGACATATATTATCGCCTCATATCGCTAAGTATTAAGACCGGAGATTATAAAGCAAAATTATTTAAATACTAAACTAAATATGGGGCTTAATAATACAAGGTACATAGAGTAATTAGCCACCTCAAACAAACTTTTCTTTTACTATATTAGTTTAACTTTAAAATCAAAGAAATTTTTTTCCTCCCGATTCATTTTTTTTAATTTCTTAGAAACAATATCTAGCATTATAAGTTTATGATAATTTGTTGCCGAAAACTTACAAAAAATACCCAGAGATATTAAGTATAACTAAAAATATTTCGCCAAGGAGTTTTATAAAATTATTTTTCTTGGAAAAAAAATTATAGTCTTATGCAACCATTTCCTTAGCTTATTGCATAATATGCTATGAAACACTTCTGCGTCTTTGTAAAACGTTTTGATTGAATGCTTTTTTCTTAGAGTTGGTCTTTGCTGTTTGACAATGTTACAGACACTTTCTAACTAACTATAAAAATTAGTGCAGTATATTTCAAGATCAAAAATATTATATTTTTAAGGCAATTTGAACATGATTGAAATGAAAAAATATCAAGATGTAAGAATTAAGTGTAAAGACATACTTGATAAAATAAAAACGTCGTCGTTTTATTAATTCCTTTTCAAAAAGTAACATTTTATTTGTTGTTATTGGTTTGTACAAACATTGAAGTTATTTCTGCTTTAGTTCCGCCGTCCATTGTTGAAGATGAGACAAGTACAGATTTAACAGTTGATGAAAGGTCCAGAGTCAGCTTAAGGTGCAAGGCATCAGGATATCCAACGCCAAGAGTTGTATGGAGAAGAGAAGATGGTAAAGAAATTAATCTCGGACCAATGGGTGCCCAGAAGAGTAGCTCAGGTAAACGTTATTGCTATTTTTATCCTTCAGTAAAAGTAAATGATAAAAATTAAAATAATATTGCATTAGGGAATTATTTAACTGTTATCATGATGGCAGAAAATGATAGATGGCAATAAAATGTAGACGTGCACTAGTAATGTAATTCTGCGTCTTATTCAAAAGAGATGGCAATATTCGTCAAAATGCAAATATAACTATTTCATAATTAAATGGTGTGAATTATTAACATTCGTATAAAAAGAAATTGTTTATTTTGGTCTTTTATTAGTATTAATTATAGAAATCAACAAACTACCATAAACATTCCATTGAAGTCAACTGTCTATTTAAATAACCCATACGCAATGACTTTTTTAGAAGAATGACTATCAGAATTCATCCATTTAAAAAAAAATCTAATAAGTAATTTTTTTCTTTTTAAAATTTACTTATATTTTATTATTTTTTATTATAATCTATTTATTAGTTTTCAACTCAGATAATGACTATAGAATTTTAATCACTAGTATTCCTGATTTTGGCCATTATCTGTTACCCATAGAAATGCATGTTTGAGCATAGCAAGATTTTTCGTTTCAATTAATATTGATTGTATTTTGCAAGTACTACCATTATTTATTAGCAAATAAATGCAAAAAAAATTTTTTTCGTTCCATTCTGGTTTTTAGATCCATAAAATATATTGCTTCGAATTATTCCCCTCCTTTTTTTACACAATAAATTTAATGGATGTTGCTTGACTCAAGTATTTTTTTTTGTATTTCTTATAAATTAATATAAGTTAAATTTATATTTAGTTGATAATTTAGTAAAATATGAATACATCATTTCATTTTATTATATAATTACATTATTTCTTTTTATTCAGATTTAAATTTTACATTGTATCTATCATTATGAATTGATAAATTAGCTTAGAATGAAACAAATGATGACAGAAAGGAAATAGAGCATCAACTTATGGATTAAACTTTTTTTTTACAGTAATGCAATTTTTGAAATGATATGTATCTAATACAAAGTTGACTTAGGTACGAAATACGTCTGCATATGAATAAAGCTATAGTGAAATAATACTAATGAGTGAAACGCTTTTTAAACCCAGTGTATTTAACTTTATTTTAAAACAAAGAAAAATCCAATGATAAATAATCATTCTTACAGTTTGAATTAGAAAAAATAAATACCTACTAATTCCCAATATTTTCGAAAGTGTACATCAACTGAATAAATTTGAAGACTCTACGAGATTCTGTATCTCTGATAATTAGTGAATATCAATTATTAAATTACTTTTGAACTTTTTTCTATTATCAAAGAGAATTCATTGTTTATTTTCGTTACAAATAATGACATAAATTTCTTATTATGTTTATGTCGTGTTTCTTAAAATAAACAACAACAAAAAAACATAAAATTTGATTATCTTTTCTTTGAAGTGCTTCGAATGGAAGGGGAATTTTTAAATTTAACTCAAGTTACAAGAGAAGATATGGGAGCTTATTTATGTATTGCATCAAATGGTATTCCACCATCAGTCAGTAAAAGAATTCTATTACAAGTGAATTGTAAGTATTTTTTGTTACTTGTTTCAGTCTCTTGTATGTCATATAAAATTTTATATAATTTGGAATTGGCATTTTAAAATGGTTATAAAAATATAAAATTTTAGTATGAACTATGTATATTCTATGCATATTTCATATTTTTTTACCACCCAATTTTAATCAATACTATAATGACAATGTTGTAATAAACGAATATTTTGCTCATGGTAGACTCTACAACGCTAACAGTGTCCTCTTTTTTAAATAAACCATGTTTTAAAAAAATTGCGTACTGTAGTGTATTAGGCACTTTACCTTAAACATTTTTTCATAATCTACTTATATTTTTCTTTTTGTTTTATGCATAATTTAGAAAAAAGGGGAAAAATATGTAATGCCTTTTTAAGAGTTGTAAGGAAAACTTCAGATGGTATAAACATACATGAAATGCAGCAAAGCGGAAGCAGACGGTAGGACAGACAGCGCAGATGATTACTTTGGAATTTCTTTGAATTGGTTTGTTTTCAGGCGGCTTTTCTAAGAGTGAATAAGTTTTAGTAAGCTCGTTTACGGGAAAATTATTGCTCTGTTAGTAAAATAGCCGGTTATCTGTTGCGGTAGAAAAAAAGTTAGAAATTATTGAACATTATCTGCCAAAGAGTTTCTAGTATTTTTTGTTGTCTTAGTATGGAATGATTTGTACAAAATAACATCTGATGGATGAAATGAATTAGGATTAATGTAAAGTCTTCATGTTTGTGAAAACTAAACGTTTTCTTTTAAAAAAAAAGAGAAAAACAACTGGCTCTGCAGCTCACTGAAGTGCAAGCGAACAGTAAGCCGTCAATTTAATTAGAATGAACTTAACTTTTAATTTTACACATTCGATGTGGCTCCAACACAGAACTGAGCACTGGAAAAGAATATTTTGATTCTCGTTGTATCCCTGGATGTACCTTTCATTTTTCTGTTTCTGATTTGTCTCTAAAGATTGGATTATATGTTTTTTCTGTTTGTCAGAGACTAATAACTTTAATTTTTTTTAAGCGCATTGATCTTGATCTTAATTTATCTAATGAATAAAAACCCCGCAATAAATTTCAAATACAAGAATGTAGCACAACAGTATTTATGTGCTTGTACAACAACGTGCGCTACTTTTCAATGTGAAAACATTTTATGATCAAACTTTGAAATACAAAGCCGGCAATTACTTTATTCCGTATTGAATTGCCAGTTTAATCATCACGAATCCCGCCGTGACACTAGATATATCTTTGTGCTGAATTTCAATAAATTGTGGTATCTGCCCTCAACTTAAGGGATTTTAAGCCATTTTGTGCATTAAGCACACATGTCTGCATCTGCAACAATAAATAAATGACTAAAGCATGGAGGGAAAAAATGTAAAAATTTTTTTTTTTATCTCAAATGCATAAGTATTAAATTCTTCCCCTTTAACGGGGTACTTAAGTTAACGAAGATTAAGTTAACAAATAACGAAACGGTAACGAATATTTTTTTAAAATTTTTTATTTAATGACGGATACTTGGGGGTTTTTCCCATTGGCCACAGAAATGCCAGAACTGCTACTCTCTTCTCGTTACGCAATGGGCACCTGTAGCGAAGCCACGGCGGTGGAGCAGCGGCGCCCACGTCACACAACCACAAACTCGTTTATAGGGCGGGTCACAATCACACACAAAGGAGAAAGGACATAGAACACAGAGAGAGAAAGAAACATCCATGTCCTGAGCAGGATTCGAACCCGCGACCAATTGCTCCACTGTCAGACACGCTAACCATTCGGCCAAATAACTTTATATATATAATTTTATGAAGGAAACCATGACTTAATTTTTGTCAAGTAGCAATTTGAAAACTCTACCTATGAAGTATACTAGAACAATGAGTCAGTGTGTTGGAAATCAATTGCGTAACTAAAAGGTTTTTAATGTTGTTTGAGGTAAGGGATTTGAATAATACCATTCCAATTAGTGATATTAAGTCGTTCTCAAGCTTTTCTTCACGTTAATGTGTTATATGTTAATGATATGGGGGCTTAAAGCATATTAACACAGATTTAATTTGCCCATAATGATAGAATTTGAAACATTGATAATATGTCCATTAAAGCTCGGATGTGCATGTTAAAAATATTGACAACAGCTTTATACAGGAAAAAAAAATTCTTGGACAAAACCGTAATGTTTATCATCAAAAATGTTCTGCTAAATAATTGGTAAATGCGGCTTAACATTCTAATGACCTACACCCGTCATAAATAATACATTTGAATTACCTGAAAATGATTTTCCTAGTCTACCACATTTGCGATTATATTGTTCTGTAAGAAATCAATTCATGCATATTAACAAAAAACACATTCAATTCAAATACATATTAACACAAAATTTGTGTTCCAGTAATGTTAGAAGTGGAAACATTGATTTCTAGACTATCAGCGTATTTTATTTTAAAATATAAGAAACCCGATATATACCAATATATTTAATTAAAATAAAAACAAAAACAAATATTCTCTATTTATATTTAAAATAATAACCATTGTATCATAAGCGCTGCTAATCATTACCAACTGAATTTATTTTATAGCATTTAATGCACAAGAAAAATCTGATCAGACATTCGTCCAATTCCATACTTTAAAAATATCTCTTAACAATTTAAATATTATACTTTACAGCAATCAACTATTATGTTATTAACTATCAGTTATTGTATTTTACAGCGATTGCTTAGGAATCAGCATAATGTCCTATCACAATAAAATGAAACTTTTACATCTTGTATGATTTGTGATAAATATTTCTGCAAAAGAGATATTTTTGCATCACTTAAAAATTTAAGCTGGTATAAAATACAAGATTAAAAAAATAATCCAGAAGCTATCACAAACATTAACTACAAAGGCAAACAATTCTGCAACAATTAAAGCAATCTTTCCAAACATATCAGGTTAAAACTGTAAATTACAAGGAAACAATCTCCAATTTGTCTTATCGGTTCAAAATTATCACTTCAATCTGTTAATTACCTGAGATAAGATGGCATTTTCAGATTAAAACAATTTTCCTTTAAAAGATTTATTTCTTTTCTGCTCAGAATAATTACAATGCTGCAATTAACTTTGAAATGTGTTGTGAAGCTGTCATTAAGTAAAAATCTGGTAGAAGAATTCTTCTTAACTTAGTGTTGTGAAATGCAGATATATTTGATTAATGTAAAAGTCTTCCGTTACAGTGAAATAAAATAGTGTTTAGTTTTGTTACTTTTAGTTTTAACTAAGTAGTTGAAATTTATGACTGGTAAGTCTTTAATTAAATAATTTATGATTGTCAAAAATAGGTAAAACTTGTCCAAAATATATTTGTGTATTTGAAAACAGCTTTTAAAGCTGGAATGTTTACATACATTGAGTTAAGATAATTTTAGCGCTGTTTATTCAAACTTCATTTATTGCTTAACTTTAAGATAATAGATTTTTCTTTCTGTTTCAGTATATGTCACTACCTTCAAAAATTAATAATATATGATTGCAATTATAAATTTATATATGACATATTTCAAAACAATTTATTTCGGTTATTCGGTATGTATTTTATGTATTGTAGTATGTATTACATATCTGGTCTCGATTTTGACATTTATGAAAAATGTTCCTTTTTCAAAACTGCTTCATTCTCAAAAGCGCCCTTTTAGGTTTTTAAATACGAAACAAACAAAAAGTTAACCATAATTAGAAGTTTAAAGGTGAATAATTGAGCAAATTTAATGTATTGACGACATGGCTGCCAAATATGGTGGCTTGTTTTCATGAAGTGTACTGGTGAAGCGTACTATCAGTTATTTTTTATCCCTTTATTAATAGAGAAAAAGGAGCTTTGTGTATGCTTCGTGAGAAAAAACTAATTTCTTAAAAAAAATATTGTATATGTGCATCCTAAATATATGATTTTTATTTTACATTGTAGGATTTTTATTTTACATTGCATCGGGAACGTAACTTCAGTGACTCTTATATTCAGTGCGCAAGAAAAAAAAAAGGACCACGCTGAATAACTTGTGACTGGATCTTCATGTTCTAGGACTCAATTTTAATGGTCCGAGGGGGTTACTTTAATTATGCTAATTAATAAGTGCAGACGATATTTTAAGTTACGAAATCAAACATAAAAACCTACTCTCTCTGATTAAACATACCTTTTTGTGAGCGGATAAGGATTTCTGACCACTAAAATATGTATAGAGGGCAGCAGCAATCTGGGAAATATATTTTTAATAGTTTGGTCAGAAGAGCTGTCGATAGTTTGGACCAATTAACGTTAATTGTACTTTTTGCGTATTTTGCCAATCTCGAGAATTTTTTAAGCGATTATTAAAAAACCTTATAAAATTTTTTTAATAATTAACTTCAGGGGGTTCAAACTTTGGATCGCTGTCGTGACCAAACTATTGGGACCATATTTCCCCGATTGCGTCTGCGCCCAATAATTTGGGGGTCATAAATCCAAATTCTTTGAAAAAAAGGTATGTTTATTAGGAGAAAATACGGTTTTACTTCTAATTTCGTATCTTAAAATATCGTCTCCACTAATTAATTAGAATATTTGAGGTCACCCCTCAAACAATTAAGATGTAGTCCTAGAGCGAGGAGATCTGATCAAGCGATAAAAAGATAGTCAGGGAAGTACTTAGGTCCTAAATAAACTTTATGATCTATTAAAGTGCCATCCAGGTGGCAAAAATAATGCCTAAATGCTAGTTCTTTTTCCTGTGGTTGGCATGTGAAACAATGCGATATCTTATTGAAGCTTCTCACACGAATTCTACTCACCTATTTGTGGGATCCCATATTAGCTACAGTTTCATCGCAGCCAACTGCTATTGAATCCTTCAGGCTGATTTTTCATTTGTCAAGTGATCAGTAATACTAGATGCAATGGAAGCTGGATGATACGTAATAATTGTCACATGATTTATGTAAACGTCGGGGCAAACTTTTCATAATGCTGCTATATTACAGCTTCTCTGCTTCGTTTCTTCTCACACTTCTACACATGTCGAAATACTACATATGTCGAAATTTAAGTATAAATTTTCATTCTTTGATTTTTATAGTTTCTTATGATTTTCATGATTTTTATAGTTTTAAAAATGATACAATAATAAATAATTGCTATAAAAATATCGAATTAAAATTTTTATTTAAATGTCGACACTTTATTAATTATAAATATAATAATACTTTGCGCAAATTCCGCGTTTGAGCCAATTCAAGGTAACAAACAAATAAAATGCTGTTCTTAACTGAAGTAATGAACGCTCCTTACAATCCCACAAATCTTTATTTATGCTCTTATTTCATATTTTGTAATATGGATCTGGCAAACTAGTTGGAAATAGTTTTTGCAGTTAGTTCATAAGTAATTGGCCTTTGTTTTCCCTTGTCACCTTATATGTTTCTATTTGTGTATCATTTTATATGATTCTTGAATTTTTGTGAAATTTACATGACAAAATTTTCTTTAATGTAATAATAGAATGCACTACTTTTGTAGATATAATCGTATGGGCTGATGACAAGATTATATTTTTTCAGTGCAATTGTTTTCTAATTTTAGTTATTTTTATAAAATTTTTTCAGAAAAATTTATATNTATATATATATATATATATATATATATATATATATATATAAACTTTTTTCAATGATTATGACATTTAAATTGTTGTTTGATAGTTCAACCAAAAATTCGAGTTAGTAACCAAATGGTAGGAGCAGCACTAGGCAGTGACGTTTTACTTGGATGTCGTTTGGAAGCATCCCCTCGTCCACTGACGTCATGGATAAGAAATGATGGAATCATACTTCTAAATAACAAAAAATATGAAATCTCAGAAGTTGCTGAATCTTACAGGATCCACATGCAGTTAAAGATTAAAAATTTGGATGAGAAAGATTATGGTCACTACAAGTGTGTTGCCAAGAATACCTTAGGCGATAAAGAAGGATTCGTCAGATTAATAGGTAATTTCTACAGCAATTCAATCAATTTTAATGAAAAAGTGTTTGTACTTTTTAAGGCAATTTTTTTGTAAAATATAATTTATATTGAATCATTTTACTGCAGGTAATCTTCAATGGAAAATGTGTAAGATGTGTAGTTTGCACATGTACACTGGAAAATGTGTTTGTTATTTTTAATGATTTTTTTTGTAAAATATATCTCACTTTGAATCACTTTACTGCAGGTTATCTTTATAACAAATGTAATTTTAAAAATATTTAAAAAAAATTAAAACTCTTTCTATTTCTTTTTAAAATAAGTTTCAATACTCTTCTTCATACTTTGTCCAAATATGAATTGACTTAACTATAACTAATCGAAATCAACTAAGGAGATGAAATTAATCTGTAATGCAATATCTATTAAGACTTTTAAATTATAAGCTAATTGCTCCCCCTGTTTTTACAGCGTGTTTGGGAACAACTCTGAAAGCTTCCAATTGTAAGAACATTTTGGATTGCAATTGAAGTTATATTTTGCAACATTTCCATATTTAACGCATAAGGCGTCTGAGCTCCTTCCTCTATGAAAACAACTACCCTTTATTTTTTCCACCTCAATTAATTTTTATTTTATATGTAGAAGTAAATTATGATTATTGTTTATTCATTTTTATAGGAAATAAAAATATTTGTTAAAAATTCAAATTATACAATACAAAATAGCTTAAATGAGAAAAATTTAAAACTTTTTTCTATTATCATTTTTTAGCGCATTTCTTAAAAAAAAAATTGCTATAACTGTGGATAATCTTAAGGAGTACTTCATCTTCGATATCTGTCGAAAGCTGATGCAAACCATTTATTACAAATAGTTAATAACCACCATTCATTGGCATCTGTATGGGAGCTTTAGTGGGACGTATAATGAAACTCTTTTATCACTTACTCTACATTTCTCTTTCCTCTTACTCAACCTTTCAACACGTTTGCATTTAGTATAACTTTAATGATTTCGTATTCTTTATCTGCCTGTTAGTTCGGGATTGCGAAGTAGGTACTCGTCTTGTGTGGTCCATAATAGAAGGTGGTGCTCTTAGAAATCTAATTATTGACCCTTTTCTATGTTTGCAAAATATGACCTACCATGAAATATTTTCTCTTAGTACTGAAGGTTGTAAGATCTGGAAAGTGTACTACGCAGCAAAAAGGCCTTACACGTAAAAAAAAAAAACAAACAACAACAACTGTAGAATATAAAGATTTTTTTGATGATAATGAACTTGCAGATGAATATTTAACTATTTGTTTTCTTGGCGAAAGCAACCATCAAACAGAAAAAGAGCAAAACCTACAATCATCTTAAACCAAATAATAATTTGAGATTCTATGAAATGAGCAATTTTACTGAAAATGCATACCGACAATATGAATGCAGAAATAAACGTTATGGTGAATTGTATGCAAAGTCAATTATATAAAGTGTGATCGTATTGCTACCATACAAAATATAAATCTAGAAAAACATAAACAAGCATATCGCAGGAAAATTGTAAGTTGCTATTTTTTTTTCTTATTCACTATTTTTTTTAAAATTTCATATTTTGTTTATTATAAATGAGGAGAAAATGTTTACTTTTCAATTGTTACGAAACTGTAGGGGATTCTTCAATCCACCGTTTAGGACTTGGGAGAAAAAGTGACAGTAAAATTATTAACAATTCGCTGCCGAAGCTCTCGTTTCGGACACAAGCTATAAAAATAAGAATGAATAATTTTCTGCACCAAGTCTTTAATTCTGAGTTGCATGTACTTTATTAAATATTATAATTCTAAAACAAATTTTAAAAAAATATTATCATTTCACGTAGAGAAGCCTAAAGTATCAATAACCCAAACTCTCTTAAAAAATTATAGATTATGAAAATGTAATAGGCATAAAACCCATTAATGATATATTTTAAGCTATTTTTTATGTATTTCCATGTACTTTTATGTACATATTATAAAATGAGCTTACGTCTTTTGCTGTTGTATAAATGGAATTATTTTAAATTGTAAGCGATGTATCAGAAAACAATATTGAGGTACTGTCTGTTGGAAATATGTCCCTTTTTATTGTGTTCCCTTATTATTTTTAATACAGGATTGCTCGTAGTAAGTTAGTGACATGAGTCGTTACGTCATACGTCATTATTCTCCCCAAAAATAAACAAAGGATATGCAATTAAATACTAATTTTATGCTGAAATAATAATAAAATATAGATTTTGAAATCTCAGAAAATTTTAACTATATGGAATGCAACAAAAATTATTTTAAAAATGAATTAATGTCGCAGAATATTTTTTTATTCAATTCGCAATACACCATAAATAGACTCAAACAAAGTTTCAGAATTTTCAGTTGCAAAAATATTTCTTTAAAAGTAAAATATATATGTTTTAAATTAAACTTGACAAGTACTTAAATAAGAAAACTCATTTTTAAAACATTTTAATTGTTTATAAATTATCCCAAACAATTCAAAAACACTATTATTTAAGAAACAAAACGAAAATTGTGACACATTTAGACACAGAACATATTTTGAATATTTTTGTTGAAGATCAGTATTGATTAATTGATTGCTATTATTTGTTTTAGTAGGTAGTTTTACCTGATTTGTAGGTTGTTTTTGTTCACTTTGCTTTCCCTTCAATATTATTTGAAAAGTTTTCTTCTTTTTTTTAAAATATGATTTTATTTATTTTTAATAATATATTTTGCTTACATCTAATAAGTTACTTGAAATGGTTTTGGTCTAAACCACATTATAATTTAGTTGTAGTAATTGTTAGAGAAATTCGTTTTGTTTAAATTAGTTTGTACTATTCTTTTCAGAAATAAGTCCCCCAACAAGTAGTCCCTTTTCAACTCAATCCCATGAATTTTACGTCCCTATTCAAAGAGGTAAGACTGTTTAGAATTTTGATACAAATTTTATGTACTGAAAAGAACTTAGTTAGCTAATTATCTTAATAAAACACTCAAAATTCATTAAAATATTTTATATCCTCTTGATGTAAGCGTTGTTCAAATAAAACGTGACTAATTTTCAGGTTTCAAGAGGGCGATTTACATAGTTGATTTGCAGAATATTTATTATTAAACTCAGCATATTTTTAACAACCCCTAAGCATTTCTTCTAATGTGAATCAACCCTAAAGACAAAGAAACTAAGTCAAGAAACATAGTTAAACTCAAATAATTTAGCTTTTTCTTAGACCTTGTTTAATCTAGTAAATTTTTAACTTAAATACTAACAGTTTTAACTATAATTAATTTAGAATAGGTTTTATGATGATGAATGTAACAGATTTTTAAGGAAAAAATTTATTACGTTCATTAATTGTTTTATACTCTGGTGTCAAGATCTGGGTATTATAGGGAGCATTTTTAAATAACTTTCTCGTTTCAACAACCTCTATTTGCAATAGTTTCACTATAAGAGAGAAAAAATTTGTATTGGATGAATTAGATACTAATACCAAACCGCCATAGTTTTGCTGAAGTTCCCAAAATAATACTTAAAATTTCATGAACTTTATCATTTATGTGAAACAAACTCTTGTGTTGACGCTTTAATTCAAGAATTTGGACGGAAATAAAAAAAATGTTAACTTAAAAAAATATTTTTGCATCTAACAAGTGTGTCTAAAAATTTACATATTTAATAATAAATTATTTTTCTATCATTCAATTAGTCCATATAACAAGTATTTTTGACCATTTGAACTATAAACATTCTTAACTCTTTTTAATATCCTCGTAATTTGTGGTTATGTTAGGAAAAATTTTAAAAATTAAAGGACGACATCTCAAAACGACATCTAGCCGAAGATAACCTATGATCAAAATACCTTTTTAATACCTTTTTATTATTTTTCCACAAACATGTTAAGAGTTTGCGAGAGCTTAAAGAGTTTTTTCCCCACATTGAATTGAATAAGCAACTTCTGATAAATACCTATTATTTTGTGATTAGCCAATAATGAATTAAATTGTTTGCAGTCTTATTACATATTTCTTTCTCTTTAATGCTAATTGTAGTTCGTTATTTTATTATTTTCTTTTAGTCAATAAATTTATGTGTTTTTGATATAGGCTCCACTGCTACATCCAGTGAGTCAAATTTAAAGAAAGCTTACGGGATACCAGCTCCTAACTCATTAAGAGATGAATCTCAGAGTTTATCATCAGGTTAGTAGGAAAATTTACATATTTGTTTATAATATGTAGCTAAAATAAACTACCCAGAATTATAACTGCGGTATTTTTTTACAGTTTATTTTTTAATAACACATGTAAAAATTAAAGTAGTCTTTAACATAAACAAAACATATATGATAGAAAAGAATAGTTATTTGTCATTTTTTGCTTATATAATGTTTTGTACTTAAAATACTACCATATCTACAATAAAACCCTATTTTTCAAGAATACATTTTTCTGCACTATCGTTTGGACATACTATTAGTATAATAGCAAAGTCTGTGGTTCATTAAAAACACTCCCGACACATTTTTTAAAGATTTTTTAATGATTGTTTAAAGATTAAAATGGAAAGAAAAATAATATTCATGGGAGGTAAATTAAAGTTTTATTCAGAAATTATAGAAGATTTGAGGGAAACAGATTAAAATCTTTAAATTTTCACTGTACACTCATTCTAGATTTCGTGCAGTGCTTTATTATAGTTATTTTAAAATTTATTTGTGATAATATTTTCCTAGTTTATGAGGGGAAAAAAGGACTTCGTTCAAATAATACATGATTTTCAAACACCATTTTGAACAAGATTTTAATTAAGCATGTAATATATAGTGAGTGGGACATGTAATAGCTTCTATGTGGCACATTCATATTCTTATTTGTTACACATTCCTAAATTATTATTGATGTATTAAATAACTTATAATTCAGAAATCCATGTAGTTTTCTTTTTTATTTTATCAGACCTCTGATATTATTTTCCATTTTTATGCTGCTACTATTATGTTTAGTATTGTTTCTATTTTCTAATTAAAATTCAAACTTCATTTTTGAAACTAAAGCCCGAAGAAACTTTTTTTCTTAATTCAGAGACCAATATAGAGCATTAATTACATATTTTCCTATTTGATAATGGCACACGTTTAAATAATTTTTATTTCCTTTCTTTTAAAAAATAACTATGACTCACTTCATGCATTGAATGATGATAAAAAAAATGATTTCCGTATAAACTATTTTTTTTAATTTAATGATTAATTATTATCATTCTGTTTCTCCGAGTAATTATAGTACATTATGTATACTCTTAAGGGAGCAAAACAGCATTATTGAAAAGTAAAAGTTATTGAAAAGGTAATGAAGGATAAAAGTTTACTTTTTTTCTAAATGCAAACTAGATATTAAAGTATTTCTGCATTAACCAACCATAAGCTAAGGAGGTCATTGAGGTTAAGGCTCTACAATTTCGTGACCAATGACATGGGTAATTGCTATATGGTTTGCTCTGTTTCCCAGACAACCTTGTACCCAAAATTCTGAAGCTGGGAGGATACTAAACAGTAACTGGGAAATAAGCCCCAATCTTTCCCAGTGAGAGATCAATGCCTTAACCATTGAGCCATATGGTTCATTTAGATATTTCTCATTATTATAATATTGCATTAGTATATAAATTAAAAAAAAATATTTCCCTGTTACAAAGCAAATATTTTCCAATTTTAAAGGAAACTCAGTAAGTTTGTTTTTTAAAGAAAAGATTTACAAACAAACTGAATTTCAAAATATAGGTAATTTAATTTTATGAATTTGAGCAGATAAAAAAAAATTTTATAACAAATGTTGAGATGATTGGCTATAACACCGTTATTTCTTTTGGTCCAAATACCTCTGAATTCACTGCTTAAAAACACAGGTACAGATAACGCTTCAAGATGTCAGACATCAAAGACTTGACCTTGTCCTCACTGTAAAAAAGGGGGAATTAATTTTTTTTTTATCAGATGTAAATAAGCAGGCAAAGAAAAAGGCGAAAAATTGTCACATCAGCACTTCTTGAGGAATCAAAAATATCCTGATTTCATTCTATCTGGGAATTCCAAGACTTTCCAGAAGGGCCAGACAGCGAACTATTCCTGAATATAAAAACATGTTTTCTTTTATTAGGAGATTAGTTGAATAGAAAACAAATTCTCCGAAAAACCATCACACATTTTTAAATTTCTTTTTCAAAAATAAGTCAGCAAATTCATTAACAAAGACCCCATAGTCAGCTAAAAATTTCTCCATCATAATATGTGGTATGAGACCAGTGGGAGTATAAAATGAAAAATAAGCACAACCCACTCTTTCACCCACTCTTTCTTTATCATTGAACATGGAACCATCTTTATAGACATGCAGCAATGAATCTCTGGGACATCTATTTTTAATAGTTGATAAATTTAATACCAACATCGGTGAATCACCCATGTGTTTTCTGCAATCTTCCAAATCTATATCACTGCTAGCTATTAATATTTTAAGGAGTAATTGGGCATATAGATAATCTGTGGATTTTGGTGAACGTTTGAAATCAGTGACTGCAGATTTAGCTTTTCATAGAGAAGAGTGCATTTTTTTCAAGTATGCTACTAATTGGGGACTTAACCTAAGATGTACCAAGATTTTTGGTGTTCCAATAAAGATAGAAACACGGTACATTTTACTATATTCTGGCAGTTTTGTTCATACTTTTTCTCTCGGTGCACCATTCATAGTTTTTGATTGGAAGATTAGTTTAAACTTTTCTTCATGACTTGACAATTACAGTGCATGTATAGTTCTTTGTAGTTTTCTTTTTAATATTTGTCTTATGATAAATAAAGTAAGCATTAACAAGTTTTTAAGCGAAGCAAAATCAAAAATGCAAGTTTCAATCTAACGTATAATTTTTGAAAAAGCTAGGGATTAAAACATCAAATCCTGTTTGATGCTGTAAACAAGAAAACAAGAGGTAGATAAGAGAAGATGCTATAAGACGATTAATAGAAACACTTTCAAATTGATCAATTCGATTGATCAACTGAACCAATGTATATATACAGTGATTTTGATTTACCATGCTTTCATATTAATTTTAATCTCTGTAATATATTCTTATTTTACATAGTTTTTAACAAGGGATTTTAAGAAAATCCATTTTTATTTAAAAGTTTTGCAGTTTTAATGATAATAATATGTAATGATTTTTTTAAAATGTAATAATTATGTCTTTTTTAATTTTATTGTCATGTAAAGATAAGCAATTGAGACAAGGTAAAGATGAAGGGACATCAGATCATGATCAGTCACACCGTAAGATGTACCCAACACAAAGAAGCCCTACAGGTACAACAAATCTATAAACTTTATAATAATCATTCTTAAAAATTATGGTTTCATTAATAGCAACATGATATATTTTAAAATTAATTTAAATAAATTGTTTTTTAGTTTAAACAGTAAGAGATAGTACCCCACAATAATTAAAGTGGCAAATAATTAATTAAATTGAATTTAAATTTCGTAACTTTGTTAGTTCTTGAATATTTCATTACGAGATTATGAAATATTGTTCTATATTTGTTTCAACTGCTTAGAGTTCAAAATCGAATTTATTAAACTGGAAAACTAAGCAAATTGACCTGACTGCTTGAAATGACAGATATTTATCCCACTAATGCACTTTCAAACAATATTTTACAACTAACTTCTAAATTAATTTCTTGTCAACACTGAATGTGCTATATTAAATTATTTTCTTAAACTTCATAATTTCGATGATCAGAAAATGCTAGGCAGGAAAGCACGGGATCAAAAACAAGGCAGAAACTTAATTGGTACAAAAGTATTGAGACAAAAATTTTCTCATTTCTAAGACATGTTTAGCTTATTAAATTTTATGGAAGTAATGTGAATATTTTGAGCAAAACTTATCAAAATATAATGCTTAAGAAATTAAAACCCATCTTTCTTATTTATTAAAGTGGATGAAAATTGCATTAAGTGTAACCTATCCATTGTTATATTTAATTTTTGTTATTTCGGCTGTATGCTTTCTTCCTCATATATGCTTATCTGGAATTTCACTAAATTTCTTAATTACTTCTAAAAATTTAAATTTTTAATTAATAAAATAGTGATAAAGAAAAATAGACAATTGACTTGTGGGAGCATTTTTAATAAATATTTCAGAATACCCTTATCACGAATCACGTTTATATATTTTTTTTATCAAAAATCATGCATTATACTCCATATTAAATGATACATAAATTAGTTTTGATGCATACTTTTTTAAAAATATTTTTTGAAGTTTTTATGATTGACGCATGCTTTATAAAAAGGAGTTTGCTTGAGCAAGACATAAATTGATTAACTGAATGCCAAACCAGAATGGAACTTATTTTAACATCTTAATGCAATCTTGAATAATCATTCTTAAATATTTGATCAACGTTAAGACCAAATAAATTCAAGTTATAAACAGAAAGCTAAACATATTCCAACTATCAATTGCGAAAAAAAATTAAAACAAAACAAGCTAATATAATAATCTAGCTATATAAGTCTGTTTTTCATATTAATATAAAACAAATAATAATATTAAACAAAAATACTTTTAAACTAAGTCATTAAATAATCACATTAGTTACATAGTTACATTATGAATTGAGTCTTATTATTTTAAATAAATACCTTTAAAAATAATATAGCTCTAAGTTACCTGCTTTATTATCACAGTAAATTTTGAGCAGCTTTTTTCATTCATTGAGTCTTTAGTTTATTTGAGCACATTATCATTTGATTAAAGAAACACGCATCAAAATGAACTAAAATATGTATAATAAGACGTATATATACGCCAAACGCACATAACTATTTAAGTAAGTCATATTACTTCATGATTAAATGAAGTATTTTTTAATATGTCATTAAATAGTTCTTAGCATTCTAAATATTTAAAAAAGAAACGAAAATTAATTTCTAGAGATATTAAATAAATTTGATCTAAATTTTAAATTTTATCCTAATAAATATTTTGATACTAATATTTCAATTTATAAATTGGCAAATATGCATGTACTAATTAATTTATTTGTAAAAACTCATTTAATTTATTTGTATTAACTTATTTATTTTATTTGTAATAACAAAATTGAAACATTATGATTTGTGATTATGATTTTTATACTATGATTCAATAATACATTAAGTTATGCGAATAATAATTATTTTATAAGAAAGATTCTTTATGTTATTGCCTTTAAATGCAAAAACGTTTTAAAATTATGTTTAGAAAGATAAATTCTTAAGTAGCTAATTGAGATATGATAAAGAAATCTCTAAAAATAAGCTTTAAATATATCGATGGCTTGTCTTAATTTCAATCTGCTATTATAAATGTTGATTGTCTAGTCTAGTATATACACGGAGGAAACGATTCTGGTAAAATTTCAACTCCGCATTGCAGAGGTTAAAAAAACATTAGAATTCTGATTAATGGATCCAAAATATTCAATAATTAAACCATTCATTTGATAATATATCCATTCATATAGTAACAGTTTGTCGGAAATTCAGTTTTTCTAAAATATAATTCCATCTACCACTTTAGCAAAAAATTCAGAACTGAAAAGTGAATTATGTATTGGGTTACTCTGAGGTATCATGATAAAAATACCAAACTTTGTCACATTTTATAAAATTATATTTTATTGTTAATTTTACCAAAATCATTACCAAAGTCCTTCGTTAAAAATTACAGAGCGTTTTGGTTTTACCAAAGAATCAGAAACACAAAGTTTTTTGCAATATTCTGGTAGTTATAACCATTCTTTTTCTCAGTGTATATGATATATTTTGACTGCTCTATTATATAATGACAATATCATTAACATCAACAATATATTAAGAGTGTTTGAAGGAATAAGTGATAGATATAATCTAACACCAAATACTGTTTTGTTATATATTATATTATTTTATACAAATACATTTTAATATTTATTTATTTTTATTTGCAGATACAAGTAATACGTGCCAAACACTAGCTTCTTCACTTACTACTTTGCTAGTTATTAGCATAGCAATTTTACAGTTTGCTAAATCGTCTAATTGAAGAAAACCACGCATGGTTTTTTCTTGCTCTTGCAGGAAATGTAAATGTACAGTTACTGCTGATCTATGCTTTAAAAATGTTGTAAAAATCGTGTAAGATATAACAATGTTTAAAATTATGTAAATTACGATTGACGTGTAAGTAGCAATACCTAAATAACAATATTTTGGAAGGTGAGGTATTGATATGCCGTATAGAAAGTTTTGAATAATGAAGGAAAATGTTGCTTGGAAATAATTATAATTTTATTTCCTTTTTAACTTCCCCTCCATGAAATATTTCACGTTTTTTTTTTTGCTTTCCTTTACGTTATTTATTTTTACATTTCAAGAAACATAATTTGAAATTCTCTGTTTATATTTATGTGTCTAATATATTTTTCTATACGTTTGAAAGTATATCTGAATACTTTTCTGAAGAAAAGTAAAGTAGTGCATTTCATTTTCGTATTAAACATCTAAATTAATTAGAGCAGCTGAAATACACTTAGTTACTTTAAAAAGTTAAATTTTCATTCATAATTTAAAAATTTTAATATTAAATAAATATGGTATTGTAAATTTCGATTTTGTTATAATTTTCCGAATTTTGATTGTATATAAATTACAAATCTGGTTTTGAATTGAATTTATCCATTTCTATTTTCATTAATATTAAAAACTAACTTTATTATCAAATATTTCTAATTTCATTCGATTTAAATTTCTACTGAAAAAATTTCGAATTGCTTTAAATTCTTTGCAGTATTTACTTAGTTTGAAAGAAAATATCATGAAATTTTATTTTTCAAATTAGGTAACTAACGTTTTGTATGGTGATCTATTTTTATAAACATGTGCTTTAGCATCTTATTTTTTCAGAAGAAATTTAAATTCTAATTTACTATATTTAATTAGGTTTTAGACATTAAGCTTGTAAGACATATCATAATAAAAAAAAATCAATAAGTAATCATGACATGCGAACATAAACTAAACTAACTGTTTGATATTTGTTATGATAGTGTTTCAAAAAATTATATTATAATAACTATTACTTTCATGACTACATGCTAATAATAAATCTAACGTACATATGTTAGATATGATATGTTATTTATGGTTTAAATAATAATAATCATTGTATTTAAAAAAGAGGAATGTTTAATTAATTGTAATTATATCCTTTTTATTTCAACTCATAATACATAGTTTTAATTCTTTGCACTAGTTACTATTAATTTTTAAAGAAATGTATTATGAAAATATCCGTATAAAGCTAAGTAGATCGCATTATTATGACTTTTACTTTTGTTCTTTCCACAAAGATATTATTATTATTATTATTAAAAAAAAAGTGAAGATTATTTTTTAATGCTGCCTATTAGTTTAAACCAATTAACTTTTAATCTACAAAAAATGCTTAGTAAAATAGATATCTCTCAAAGAAAAAAATCACAAAATATTTGATACCTTAATTTAAAAATGAATTTTTAATCAGATTGTGAAGATAACTATTTTTTTCCACTGAATGTTAGTGATAAATATAATACGTAATTTGAATCTATTATTGCATTAATACTTTAAAATATGTTATATTTAAGTACTTATAATTTTATTTTATCTTACGTGTCATTTCATAAAAAATTGATATACTCATTTTTTAATTTGTGTTTTAAATTTCAGAAAAAAAAATTTTGGCGAAATTTTGGTTTTTGTAACATGTTTAAGCTGCTTTATTATTTAAATGATTTCATAAGCATGTTGTTTGTTCTAGGAAAAATGAAACTCAATTTTTAAGAATTTCAATCTATTTAACGAAATATAAATACACATATACATGAAAATAAAAAATACACAAAATGTTTGAAATTCTAATATGCATGTTTTTTTATTAATACTATACTATAATAACTATAACTATTTGATTGCATGCAAATGATAAATCTGGCGTAAATTGAGTAATTTATTAGTTTCTTATCTATTTAATACAGATGGAACTTATAGAAGTTATTATTGTTTTTAACCACACATTATTGTATTTCGTGTTGTATTTATATACATTTCTGATTGGTGCAAATTATATTGCTTGGAAAATCCACGACAAAAACATTTTTGAAGAGAAATTTGAGTCATAAAAATGTTTAAAAGTACATTTCTGTTTTTCTCACTTTTTCTCCCTCACATGCTTGTATGAAGAATAATATTTTATGCATATCTACGAAATCATGATTTTGAACTTAAATATTTTTGCTGAAATCAAAACACGATGGTTTAACAGCTTCAGAAGCAACTTTGATATCAATTTATGAAATATTTGTCTTGAGTTATAATTCAACTTGTTGCTTATTAGATTTTTAGAATTAATTCGTTAAAGTACAAAAAAGAATTCAATATGCTACATATTTTGTAGCAATTAAAATAAATTATAATATTACACGTGCAGTGCATGTCTGCAGTGTTATGAGTTTCAAATAAAAAATTTAAGAATTTTTAATAAAACTTTAAGTATAGTTACTATTTCAGCTTCGTAAAAAAATATTGTACTTATTGGCATGTTGGTTATGTGATTATTCTTTAAGAATTAATGTGATTATTCTTTAAGAAACAATAAAATGCAAATGTGCCAAATTATTCACAAATAAAAAATTATAGTTATTCTTGTAATTAAATATTTCCAAACATTGTAATTAATTGTTTATTTTTTCTTTTCATCAAAAACATTTATTGGTTGTTAATTTACGGTTATAAATTAAACATTTGTTTATTTATATTCGTGCAACTGTAAATCTATGGCTATACATAAAAATAATATAATAATATTATTTCTAATATGTAACATTATTTGCTTTATCCTTATTGTAATTATTATGATATTTGTAAATAAAGGGTTGATACAATATATAGCATTTTTAATTTCTTAATTTGAATTGTAAATAAAAGAATGTGATTTCATAAGATTTATGTATGTTAGAATGAATATGTCATTGTATCATAGGGCATTAAATTTCGGATGAATTATTAAACTATTATTTTTTATTTTTTTATTTATTTAATAAGTAGGCGTTATAGTCAGTGAACTTGATTTTACTCTTGAATATTTTTAAAAATTAGATAATTTGTGGTGACATTTTCCCCCCAGAATAGTTTATCCATATTAATATAAAAATTTTATCTCAAACATTCAAAAATTTCTTCATAATATTGGTGAATTTCAGATTTAATCTAATGAAAATTTAAAAAAAAGGTTTTAGAAGTTTTTTAAAATCTTTTTTTCCTCCATTTAAATGTTTTAATATCAATAATTTGATAAATGAGGAAAAATTCAGCAGCCAATTTACGCAAACTTTCCCCACAAAAAGCTTTAAAATGTACAAAATAATGTGCGTTAAAAGAGATAACATAGAAAAAATGTATGAAGAAATATAAAAATAAGATCAAATTTTTCAGTTGGGATTTTTTTTAGTTGCAATTTTTCATCACTCTACTTTATAGTATTTTTTTTTCAGATTTTTACTTCATTCAGGTATGTAAATTTTCCAATTTTCCTCACAATAAAAGCAAAATTGAGATGAAATAAAGCACGAAAAATCCTTCTTACCAATACGATGATATATTTAATGAATTCTCGTTACATGCAGGGAACTTTCTTCAACTCGAGACTATTTCGAAAGATTGGATAATTTTATGCGATATATATATATATAGTAAATGTACA